CCCCTATGATTAAACTGGCCTCAAGATGGGACAGCAGAGTCAATGGTGTGATGGATCTGTCACTGTCCCCAGAAATGGCCCAAGTGGATCCCACCAGGGAATGGACATTGTGCAGGAAGGGAGATCTCTGAAATGCAGCTCCCTCAGGAGATGAAAGAATCACCCAAGGCAGTGTTTTGAAGATAGCCTGGAAGAGCAAGAATGGTGGGAACTCTGCATGGCCAAGACCTTGGGGATGGGGCAAAGGGAGGGGAAAGGAGGGGTGCAATATGATCCCATGGGGATGTGCACTCCTGCAAAGGAGACCCAAAATGAGGCTTCTGTGTCCCCTGACTTGCTGCACAACTTGACTGTAAGCAGATGTACCCCAGGAGCAGAGGAGCACCACGCTGACTCCAGGCCCTGCTGTGCTCTTGGGGTGGTGCCCACTCCATGAAGTGGCTTTGGCAGGCCAATAGATCCTGTGTCCTGAATCCCAAGGGTGGAAGCAGGGACTCTGCCTGAGCATGCTGCACGTGATGTGATCCAACCATCAGAGGACACAGGCAGCTGTGGAGAGGTGCCAGCTGTGAGGGCAGCCCCAGCCTGATGGTTGCCTGCTTTAGGGTAGGTCACTTATATCTTTTTATGGTTTTGATGGTTTTGCACATATTTTCATTGTGCTGCGCTTTGCTTTTGCAATCACATGTAAAAAACAGTCAGGATACATAAAAACAGGAAAGCTCTTTAATCTTAAGGTCATGAGAATGACACTTGACCTAGCAAAGCTACTTGTCCAGTTGCTTTGCTTCTAATACACTTGATTTTTTTCTTCAGTACTGACAGTGCTTCAAGCCTCTGCATTTCAGCTGTGGCTCCAACTATGAAGTTTTAGACAAGTGATGAGTCAAGGTACCTCTTGAGGGGACTATGCTAAACTAACAAATGATACCATCTCAGAAGAGCTCTTGCTCTCTTTCCACCAGTTTCTTCTTTTCTTGAAATATGTTCAAGAGTCTCTCATAAGCAAATTGGTGGGTTTTGTTCATTGCATGATCTTCTTCAGCTAGTGAATATTAATTCTCCTATTGGGTGAAATAATTAGAATAATGCAAATAGACCCAAGCAAGAGTTGCAAATTAAATGATGCTCTGATTACTTCAAAATAAACAAAGCAAGAAAAATACATTGACTTTAACACCTAAATTCATTGTATAAGCAGAATCAAGAGGCTGAAGACCAGAAGGAATGTTAAAAGTTCCAGTGACCCTAAATCTTGGGTCATGCAATTTGAGCTTTGCCATTGGAAAACTGTTGCACATATATGCTGTGTTTTAAAAACAACACTGATGACCCTGCAAGAACACTCAATGGAATCAAATTCCCAAAATCACTCAAGTCTGTGTTCACAGTATTCGACTTCAGAGCATGGCTACAAGGCACAGATATCACTTGTGGAAGTTTCCAAACCTAGACTGAACTTTGCAATGGTGCCTATCCTTTACAAATGCTTTCACTACAATTTACAGGAGGGGATCACCCTTGTACAGGGCAGCTCATCCCAGTTTGGCAGCGGACCAGGCCAGCTTGCATTTGGCATGAGCAGGGAATGGCCCTGTCCCACCAAGCTCCAAGAGTGCCACTTGGCAGCATCAGACCACATGGAGCTTTTCTACAGCTGCATTGCAGGTGAAGAGCAGAAACCCCTTGTTTCAAACTCCTGCATTATCAGAAAACTTCTAGAGTTTCTCAGGCATTCAGCACAAACCCACAGTCTGTCTGACTGAGGGAGAATGCCTTGCAGCAGGATCGAGTTTTATCCGGCACCAGGTACACTGATAACCCTCCCTAATCAGTCGCTGATCTCTGCTTGGTGAAAGCACTCCCTGTGGTATTTTTACTGAAGCTATTTTTAAATGACAGTGTGATATTTTGTTTTCTTTTGCTCGTTTGTCAACGAAGAACTGGCTGTGCCGTGCGTCTGCTCTGACAAGAAACTTCCAGTTATTTTTCAGCCCATTCCAGCTGGGATGGAGGCAGGGCTGGAGAAAGTGCTGGCTGCAGGCAGGGTGAGTCCTCCAGGGAGCAGCAACCCTGCAGACCTCTGCCTGGCGGGGTCCCCGGCTGTGGGAAAAGCCTTCTAGGTTTCTTCTGACAGTGGTGCTCATTGTGTTTTGGGCTGGTTTCCACAATTGTGTTGTTTTATGTTTAGCTGAGCTGCTGTTTGCATGAATGTTGGAGTTTTGTTTTGTTGTGGGTTTTTTGTTTGGTTTTTTTTGGGTCCCTTGAATTGCACTAGGTTTTCAAGGAATTACATTTTTAGGTTTAGGTTCGTGATGCTCTCAAAGCGTGAACATCTAAAAATTGAAAATTAAAACCTGTCATGTCCAAATGGCATCACTGCATGGACAATTTGTGTTTCACCTTGTCAAACAGCTTTCCCAAACAGAGATGGAACAGGTTCCACCTCTTCATCCAAGCACCTGGACATTGCTGCATGTTTCACAAAGGGCTGCATGTTTCACATGTCATTTCTCTCAAAAATTCATTACAGAGTGGCACTAGCCACTTTCTATTCCTCTAGGTTTCTTCTGCATGAAGGAAATATAAAATTCTTGCTGGAATTTTGCTGATTCCCAAGCCTTCCACCCTTAAGCACTATTGGATGACAGTTGTCCCACAGTTGCATACCAAGATTTTCTGCCCCATAAAATTCAGACATGAATGGCTCACAGAAGATAAAACTCTACTGGGAAATATGGATTGTCTATGAGTGAAGGGCTATTGGACACAAAACATGTCTAACTAAATCCTGGAAAATTACATTCTCTGGTTTTAAGTCCTCTGTTGGCACATGGGCCCAAGATTCCTGTTTTATCCCAGGATTTGTTCCACCACCTTCCCTCACATATGACATGTACAATACTGCTTCCCTACAGAGCTAATCCCACAGACTTGATCAAGATTACTGCTCAGGTTGCTTGAATACCATTCCATCTAAGAAAGAGTGTTGGACCCAGTCTCAGGAGAGGATCAGTCTTTGCAGTCAGTCCTAGGAGCAGAACTAGATTTTTACCAAAATTTGCTGCCCTGATCCAGCAGATCCAGCAGTTGGAACAAGAAGGAGAATTGCATCCCTTCTTAGCCTTAGCTCTGCCAATTCCCACCAGTTACTGAAGCTGGTTTTTACAGTGCAGAATCCAGTAGAACTAGACTGAAACCAATATGCTTTTTCCCCATTGAGGATCTGACTTGTATTCTAAAATATCTTCAATTTTCCAGTTCCTAACACAAAAGCCATCAGGAAGACCAGATATAGCCTGATGGGTTAGATTTTAAAGATATGTTGGACACTAATAATTTCTGCTGCCTTTAGTTAAGATCCTCAAGGCAATAATAACGGAAGCTTTAAAAATATGTCCCTTATTCATCGTGGCTTTACGTCAGAAGTTTACTGCTCTAATCATTAACTAGCCTGCTGCATTATCTATGAAAATTGCCTGGTAATATTTATGAAATGTGACCTTTGTTAATTCAACGTTACAAAGTGTTGGATTCATTCTGTTTGCAAGTGGAACAGATTTCCAAATCACTCTGCAATTAGTACAGTTTGATCTAACCAGCCTATCTCTGCATGGGGTAGCCTTCTACTGAAACAGCAGGATTGCTGTCAGAAATGGAATGTATTTTCCGTATGGCTGAAAGTATGGCTGTGACACCTGCTTGCACTACATCATCTTTGGCAAAGGTAATTGCTGAATGAATATTCTCAATAAGGGAAAACACTAACCAGACTAAGAAAGATTTTTGTTATGAGAAGTACCTCAATTAACAAAAATAAAAATATCCGTGACCAAAAATGATTGCTATGTTTATTATCGCCAGCAGAAACCAAGAGGAAACAGGACAATGTTAGGCTGAAATGGGCACAATTAGCCATTCCACAATGGATACAGGTAAAGGAATTGCAAGTGACAACAGGAAGATTCAGGAGACCAGGGGAGTCGAGATCCTTTGGTGTGAAATTCTCCAAATCACTCCCAAGGCCACCAATAGGAGGGGATGGTAAGGTCCTTCCCCACCTAAAAAGTCCATCTTCCTGATCCACCTAATGCTACCACGGATTTCTGATTCTCACAGGACAACCTGTACAGCTTCAGCATATGTGGTGTTTTGGAGGAACCAAGTTTCACTGGAGCAACAAATGTGCTGGACAAGCATCACGCAGTGAAGCCATGTGGCACCATTCAGCAGCAGATCACTAGCAATGTGCAGAGTCTGCCGCATTATTATCATATTTTTCCATTCCCAGAGCTCTGCATGGTCAGTGTCAGCACTCCCATTTTCAATACGGGATAACCAATGCTCACTCCAACTGGGACTGCCTCATGTGACACACCACACTGGGAACAAACTGAGGATCTACCTGTCCCTGCATTAGTCCCCTGAGTTTGTCCACTAGCAATGGACAAAATCAGAGCTTGGTTTGACAAGCCAAGTTAAGCTCTGATGAAATCTCTACGTAGACTCGTAAAAGACACCAGTCTGGCCCTGTGTTTGATTTTCCTCTAGCATGACATCTGACTGTGCTTTCCTCTGCAGGAAACAAACATCCTCTTGGATAAAGCAGGGACTGGAAAACCACAGAGACACCCACTCTCATGTTCTGCTCCCGATGTGGGAACAGAGAAGGAGGCTGAGGCAGAGTTGGAATGGGATGGGCAGCAGGTCCTCATCCAGGACAAGCTGGTGCAGCTGCCCTGCAGACAGCACAGCTCTAACAGGCCAAGGGTAGTTTGATGTGGAGGCAGCAGCACAGGCTGCAGGAAGCCCTGCCCATGCTCTGCTGCCAGTCAGTCCTCCGTGGTTCATGATTTGGTCCTAAAATTTGAAGCTGCCTGCAAGCCTGGGCAGCTGCCTGCAGTGCCTGATGAACCTCTCCTCTCCCTGTGTCCTTGACAATGTGCCGGAAAACAGAAGAGCTGCTAAGGAAACAAATGTGAGTTGTGCCTGTGAATTACCTGGGTTTCTTGGCATCTGGCTGAAAATTGTGGCACTCGTTCCCAGAACTCACCAGAATCAGGGAATCCTCCTTCCTCCACGTCACTCTGCTGTCTCCCAAGGGAAAGGAAAAAAATACAGACGTTTGAACAAGGAAATAGCAAGTGAGAACACAGAGACGTGTACAGGCTTTTATGATATGGGAACTGGGGAAAAAACAGGCTCCACAAGTACTGGTACCATGAGCTGCAGCATTACCTGCTAGTGGCAGTCGGGAGAGGGACCCTCTGACAGGCTGCATTCAGCACAGCCCACTTACCCTCCAGGTGCATTTATTTGGATGCCTATCCCATTTCCCAAAATTGTTACCTAACGTGGGAAAATTTGGAAGGGGTTAAATCACGTGCTGTGAACCAACTGTCAAGAAGAAGATCTGAGAGTGAACATGTGAAACCAGGGAGAAGGGGAACAAGCAGCTGCTCTGATGGGATGAGCTCAGCCCCTCCAGGTGTCCCAGGAACACAAACACGTTCCCTGGCAGCCACGGTGAAGGCAACGGGACCGGCAGTTACTGCATCACTCAGAAGTGGGGCAGCAACAGCACAGGCATAGCTGCCCTCTGGCTTCTTGCTGGGGCTCCATCACATGCATTTATTGCAGTTGCATGTGCCCACACTGGTGCAGAATGGGTGAAGTCCTGAGGGGATCTGGCTATCCCACAGCTCTGAGGCAGGCACAGATCCAGGGAAAGAGGGAGGCTGGGAGAGAAGAAATGGTCTGGCCAAAAACATGTCTAGAAATCCCCAGGGTCCTGCTGGAGAGCAGTGCTAGAGCCAGGTTCCTCCCCACTGAGCTGAGCAAGTTCCTCTCTGCAGCAATCAACGCAATGTTTTCTCTTCTCAGAATCAAGGATTGCTCCATCAGACAAAAGATTTTCCTCCTACTGGGTCCTTCCTCAAAGATGGGGCTCTATCTACCATCCACTGCTGTTCTCTTTCGGGAAACACAAGTATGAGTGAGTGTGGTGTGAGAGCACCCTCACATCTTTGTAATGTCTACGACATCCCAGCATCCACAGTGTGAAATCCCCATTCGGTTTCAGGTCTTCTCTTTGCCTTTTTTTCCAACCACTTCAGCATTTTTGAGCTTCTGAAAGTGTAGGAGTTTCTACTTTTTTGCATAACTAGGAAATTGAGAGCTGTGGTTTATCTACTTGTTTCCTGTGAAACAAAAAGGGCTGAGAGATTGGGGGAGTGTGTGGGGTGGGGTGGGGTGTTTAGATAAGGCTGCCTAGAGAGTACAAGGATGAGCATGCAGTATCATGAGGAGAGATTTTTCCCTGGGTCCCACTGGCATAAAGAGAAGACTGCAACCACATTTGTCTGTGAAACTAGACTTCTTGGCTGTGGACTTGACTTCTGAGAAGTATCCCTCACTCCCAAAGGGATGTGCTGCTGCTTGCTGTCACTGTACCTCTCAGGCTGTGGTTCAATGGCCAGGGCAGCCCTCCTCTCTTGCCAAGGGGCCCTGCAGTTCTGGCCAAGCACCCTCTTCTTCACCAATGTTAGTGACATTTTCTGCTGTGAAAATCCTTTCCCACATGGCAGTGTTTGCCACAGAAAAGTTCTGTTGACTAGGAGGTGTTTTGAACAACTTGACAAGGAAGGGGCATGGAGGGTGAGGGATGGTCCATCCATGAAGATAGGGGCAGCACTGATGGAGAGCTTGGTGCTCCCCATCAGGCTGCCCTTTCCCATCCAAGCCTCAGCCCTGAGATGGGCTGGGACTGCCAGGATGGGGAAATGGCTCAGGGAAAGCAGGAGGAAGGCATGCCATGATTCAGCAGCACTACTTTTTGCAGTCAGCATTCCAGCTGCCAGAAGAAGGCAAAGTTTCTGTTTGAAAATGTTTTCAGTTAAATATATCATAAAAAGTAATAACATATATTTCAAGATGTAAACAGTAGCTCTTTTCCTCTAGCAAGAAAAAAAAAAGGCAATAAGGCAATTACAGCCTTTGTGTGTTGCTAGCTGTTTACTAACATGTAACATAACTCTAGGGATCAAAAGTGGGGGAAAGAAACTGGATTAAAGGAAATGTGGGCTTTTTTTAACTGAAAGTGTGCACCATAAAACCATTATGCTGAGAGGATGACTAATGTAACCAGTGTGTGTTTTGAAGCGTGTCATGAACACTTTTTATGCTTTCTGAACACACAAAGAGAAACCCCAGGAGAGAATTAATTTACAAATCTGATTAAGCATAGTGCCTAAGTGGCAAAAAGCATCATACAATAAATAGTAGACTCCACAGGTGAGCAAAGCTTTAAAAAAAATAAAACAAACATACTCTACAAAGAGCCCAGATGTGTGCATTTTGGATAGTTTAATGTGTTTGATTAGATGTCAGAGGTACAGACAATGAAAACAGAGGTCACGTGGAAGTAATAATACTGACCTCTTCTTCATTAAGCCATCATACTGCCTGCTAGTGTAAAGCACATATCTGAATTTGGAAAGCAAAGGCAAGGCTGTAAACACAAGAATGAGTCCTAGGATAAGGATTTTCTGCTTGATGTCAAGGAAGACTTTAAGAGTATTGTTTGGCCAGTCATAGAGGAATAAGCAGGGGTGGACCAAGAACCTGCCACCTCCTGGGGTTTTTTTCCCCTCACCAGAGACAACCTGTTCCCCTACCACTGACCCACAGAGTAGGGTCAATCTACCCCAGCACCAAGTCTTTCCCCTTGGGTGCAAGACCTGTGCTGCTTCACACAAGGTCATAACAAGGTCCTGCTCCAGCCACTTTTGGCATCAGTCTTGGCTCCTTGAGTCTCAACAAAAGCTACCTTTTGTAGCTGGTTGTGTCAGCCTTTGCTCATTCACAGTTATTGGGTGGTTTATGATAATGTTTCAGAACTGAGCAGTACTACTGCTCAGCAATCAGGGGTTACCTCTCTTGAGGGACTTCCTGAGTTCACAGGAGTTTGGATGCTAATTACAATACCTTGTAGCCATAGATCAGGGGCGCCTTCAAACTACAGACATGTTTATTAGAAGTTAAAGCTTTAAGTCTAACCAGTGCACTTCTGAATATTACACCTATCTTTTTATACAAAGGGAATATACTTTTACTAATCTTCTCACCTCCCTGGCATAACTGACAGCATACATAACACTTAAACAACCTTCGTTAGTTAATTCAAAAACAGAGAGGTGACAGAGTGACCTGGCATGACTTACACTTTCCCATGTGAGTGAGTGGTGAAATGCCCTTTCCTAATACTGTCATGGCAGTTGTCTGATATAGGTCTACCTTTCACCATCCTTAGCACATCCAAATGGGAGGCAAAAGTGAAAGTCCATCCCTGTGTTACACTGGTCCCAGTGAACAGAAGAAGGACCATTTTGTGGTGAAAGCCCTGAACTGGACTTGAGGTATCCAAGTTACTACAAATTACTACAGGTATCCCATTCCTCTAGTAAAGAGATCCAGGGATTTTTCTGGTTTTCTACTTCCCATTTCATAGGGAAGATTTATTTGTAACTACTTTCTCCTACCTTTGTCTGTTTTCTCTGTGTTGACTGTCAGGTCTTCACATTAGAAAAAGCTCTCTCACTGTGTGTAGGTCATCTAGACTAGTCTCCTGTAGATACCAAGAGACCAGCAACAATGAAGAAGAGCTGAAGAGCTGCCAGTGTCCTGAGAAGGTGGAAAAAGGAGAATCCATTAAGTAATGCCCTGAAACTTCTTTTCTGTGGGCTGGTAAAACACACATTCACTTACACAATGCAGGCACTGTCAGTGAGGCAGGAAGTTGTGTCCTCGGTATCAGGTCTCTGTGCTGTGACTGCAGGGAGTCCAACACCTTGGACGTGGCTCAGGCAGAGAATCTGTGTCACACGAAAGAGAGGAATGGAAACAGTGTGAAGCCATCGGCAACAAAGGAAGGCGAACAAAAACAGGACAGAAGGGATCACAGACACAGAGCCAAGTACAAGGCAAAAAAACAAACCTGTGGAAAGCTGGTAGGAAAACAAATAAAGTAAGTTTAAATTCTCCATCCTGCCTCCCAGTTTCTTCCACCTCACTAGCTCCTTGTTACTGAAATTTTCTCCCAGTGCTAAAATCAACACAAAGGACATGGCATCCCACATGACACTTGCAGGGTAAAACATCTGCTTGAGGATGAATCATAGAATCACAGAATATCCTGAGATGGAAGGGACCCACAAGGATCATCAAAGTCCAACTTCTGGCCCTGCACAGGACACCCCCAAGAACCCCCATGTGCCCGAGAGTGTTGTCCAAACACTCCTTAAACTCTGTCAGGCTTGGTGCTATAACCACTTCCCTGGGGAGCTTGTTCCAGTGCCCAACCACCCTCTGAGTGAAGAACCTTTTCCTAGTATCTAACCCACCCTGACGCAATTTCAGACCATTCCCTTGGGTCCTGTCACTGGTCACCACAGAGAAGAGATTAGTGCCTGCCTCTCCTCTTCCCCTCCCAAGGAAGTTGTAACTTCAGTGAGGTCTCCCCTCAGTCTCCTTTTCTCCAGGCTGAACAGACCAAGGACCTCAGCCACACCCCATACAGCTTCTCCTCAAGGCCCTTCTCCATCTTCATTGCTCTCCTTTGGACTCTCTCTAATGGCTTAATATCTTTCTTATATTGCAGTGCCCCAGACTGCCTCAATGTTCACAGTGAGGCTGCCCCAGTGCAGAGCAGAGCAGGACAATCCCCTCCCTGGACTGGCTGGCGATGCTTTGCCTGATGCCCCCCAGGACAAGGTTGGCCCTCCTGGCTCCCAGGGCTGCTGACTCCTAGAAAGGTTTGCATTTTGCATACATCACATTTAGCAGATACAGTGCTGTGTGGGTTATGTAAGGCTGGGTCATAACCCCCACATGCTACAGCATCTTAGATTCTGGTCCCCAAACAGACAGAGCACTTTAAGTGGCATTTTTTTGCACGCAAGATTGCTTTTGGCAAGTTGTCCCTTTTGGAGGCCATTCCTTTTTACCTCCATGATGTCAAAGAAGTGTTTTGGGGTTGTTGAGCAAAGATCTTTCCTTTGCTGGGATTTAGTGCCTCAAGTAAAGCCCTGAACCCAACACTCATCTTGAAGGTTTAGCTGGGAAGAATTACAGGGAAGCTGCACATAGGATAATTGTTTGGCCAGACCTATGCATCCCACCTGTGAGCCCTAAAAAAATAATCACTAAATCAGTCCTATCCACACAGCTATAGTAGGAGTCTGACAACAGTTAGATACTCATTAACATGATTGATTTCCCATTATCTAATTAATTACTGCAGATTTCACATTTTTATGTTACTTGCTTTGCCATTTGTCCAAGAACAGCAAATGGCCCATCACCACAAAGTGATGGCTCTGAATTTGTACCTTGCATTTTTCCCCAAATTGGTGCCAAACTCCAATCAGGCACTGGCAAGAGTGGCTCAGGAGGTCCCTGGATGCTCCATCCCCTGCCTGAGGCTGGAGCCAAGCCTCTTGCCAGCTTCTTATGCTGGAGGTGCCAAAGGTTCCCCAGGTAGCCTAGCCCAGTGCCTTGCTGTCCTCATCAACAGAACATTTTGCTGATATCTGACCTCCTTGTTGCAGCTTCTTCCTCTCTTGGATGCTGAAAGCTGATGATTTCCTGCTTGCACTAGCTTTTTTGTTGCATAAGGAAGGGAGCTTGTTACAGTCATCCCACCTGACACTTCACTGTTTCCTTATGTATACCACGAAAAGAGAGTTGGCCATTTCCCTTGCTTTAGGTGGAATAAGAGACTGCAAGACAGTGTGAAATCAAGCCCATAATTTTTTATTCTAAACCATACGTTACAGATACAGTTCCTACAGAGTGCTCATCTAACATTCAGTTTCATTTCTCCATAGGAGTAATTAGCTTGCAATGAGGAAAATCATTTAATTAGGCCCACAACTGATTAGAGCCTGGTGCATAGCCTATCGAAATAAAGGAGAAGACACAAATTGATTTCAACATGTTTTGGGTCAGACCCAATCTTCCAAAGCAAATAGAGAGATAAGACAGCATCTGCTGAGTATTCACCTGCCAAGTCTTTGTGCTGATCTCTAATTTTAGGTCCTACAGGCAATTGTCCAGGTTATTTACCACCTGGGATGTTTTGATCTTCTCTCAAACGTGTGTATTGATGTACGAGCTCTCTTATCTCTACCACGATAACAGTGGCCCAACTATACCAGCAGTATGAGGCTCAAGATCAATACTGATTCCTCCATCATTCAGCTGAACAGCATTTTATTTACCTAATTACTAATATCTATTAAGGACCTGGACTGGAAAATCTTGACTAAGCAGTCTAAAATGTGTGAGCTGGACATGCTATAGAAATGCAGAGTATTATCATCACTGCACAATATGGGATGTAACTACAATCTTCCTGTCACAGATTCACTTGGTTCCCTTACAGCTTATACCAATAAGTGACAGAATCCTATGGCTGGCAGTAGATTTTCATCAGCCACATTAGGTATTATTTTTTCCCTACTGGGAATAGAACTCAGCAATTTGCTTACATAATTGCTGCAGGCCTATAAATATGTTACAGATATCTGTCCTCTGATAAAAACCTGTTCTCCCATATAGGTATGCAGACACTTGGCTCCTGGAGAATGGCTGTATGGAAAGACATCACGGGTCCACCTCTAATTTCCTTCTCATCTCAAAAGCTGATTCACCCAGATTACAACTCAGTAGATTTTGCATGTCCAAGCACCCAGGTGAGCAATTTCCATGCTTAAATTTGTAAATATAACTTATTCTTTCTTGGTTCCTCCTCCATAATAAATATTCTATAAACTAACAGCCTCTATCTATTTTATTGGTCTCCATAGGACACATGAACTCATTCTTCCATATCCAGACGGATTTTCAGACAAAAGTGCAATACAAATTCATTGGAGCTGCTTCTTATAAACTCAGCAGACATGACTGACAGATACCCAGGATGCCAGTTCCTCGGGTAGAGAAAATGCTCTGTTTTTTACTTTACAGAATCACAGAATCAATTAGGTTGGAGAAGACCTCTGAGACCATTGAGTTCAACCTATGACCGAACACCACCATGCCAACCAGACCATGGCAGTAAGTGAATGCCATGTTCTAAGCATAGATGTCATTGAGACTTTGTTACTGACTCATTTTGTTCATAAAGCCCAGTTGCCTCCCTCCTGAAGGGGACATTCTGTTTGCCAAAGGCAGGCTGGCTTCAGCTCCCTTTGCTAGCACATGTGCACAACCGTGCTCTGTTTCTCTCTCTGTCCTGGACTGCAGCAGGGTGCTAAGCATTAAGGCTGAATATTCTTTTACTGCTATATGATGGGCTTTTGTCAAAGTTACCTAACAAGAAGGCCACTCTAACAAAGTGTGTCTGAGCCATGATTTCTTCAAAGCCTCTTTGCATTGCACTAGTCTATATGAAGCTTAATGCAACAGAAGTGTACACAAAGCCCCTTGTGGAAGCTTAATGCAATACAAGCATACACAAGGACCCTTTCCTACACCAAGGGAATGTAATAAGACCATGACATGCCTGAGATTCAGATCTGAAATCATGTAACAAATCCTTACTCTGCAGTATATCTTAATGCCAAACATGCCAGACTGGGGACTGGGACACCCAGCCCTCCTCCCAGCCCTTCTCCTGCCTTTGCTGAGTGACGCTGGCCAATTCTTTCACCACTGCCTTGTTTCTTTTTTGTCTTTTAAAATGAAAGCAGTGACAACACTGCCTTCTGTGAAGTGCTTCCAGTGTGGCAGCCTCAGTGAGGATTTTTAGGATGATGCTGTTCAAAATCGCCAGGCATGGTTTAGGCAGAGCAGGATGACGGGAGTAAATCAGCGTCTCTCAAGCTTTTCAATCTATTCCTCACTTCAATCAGTTAAGAATAATTTCATGCCTGATCACAGAAATGGCTGCAGGGCCTGGCGGCAGGGTACTGCACGTCTCGCTGCTCGGGGAGTGCTGGCAGAGAGGGGCAATCGAGGTCCCTGCAGCCAAACTCTCAAGGACGCTAAGATACAAATGTTGTCTTTCATAATAACAGCAATTAACAAGAAATGAACGTTACAAGGGACTGGCATTCAGTTTGAAGTACCTTTTTTTTTTTTTAGATTTGACTTTTAAGCGTGTGTGTACTATAATGTTACATAAATCCTTGCTAAATCCCAAACAAAACCAGGAAAAATTCAATTGTTTTGGGAAAGCCAGTGACTCAAACAGTGCAGCAAACAACTGGACAAGGCCAGGTAGCAAGCTGGGCTAGTGAGCATCACGTAGAGAGCCCACCAACTCAAATGTGTGGGAGTCATTCGGGTCCATAGGACCCCACAGTATCCATAGTACTTGCTGCTGTGATCCTGGACCAAGCTACTCTCCAAGCCTATGCCTGGGTACAATTCAAGGGGTGTGACAGGTCAAGGACCAACCCAGGAAGCACATGGGGTGAGATTGCACAGACATGACCCCTCCACACCACACAGTCCCTCAACACTGCAGCAGTAACTCGTTAACCCCGATACCCCACATACCTTCATGTCACGTAACCTCAGCTTTAAGGTCTGAAAGCAGCTCCCTAATGGGCTGCCACACATCTTCAGGCACTTTGAACTTAAAAAACTTACCCCAAACTAAAAGCAAACCACACATAAAATAGTGATGACTAAAAGCCACATGTGTGCCAGCCAGTAGCAGTCCAGAGGAGATACAGGGCCAAGCCCTGCCCTCTGAGATCAGGGATGGAGAATGGTCTTTGATCTCGCTTTACTTGGCAGAGTAAACAGAATCAGTGTCTCCAATGGGGCTTGGGCACTGACAAAAC